CAGAAATGTTAACCTCAGAGAAATGTTGTGATCAAGTAAAGCAAGAATTTATTTGGACTAAGGTTGAGGATGATCATCCAGGCATCACTATAGTCAAAGGTCCTCTGATAGTTCTATGTGCACCAATGTCTTAAAGCCTTCAGGACAAGTCTTAAAGCCTTCAGGACAAGTTTTAAAGGTTAAAAGTCACATATGGGGAGAAGGATTACATAATTGCTTGTCAAGACTTACATTGATCAGAAAGCTATAGTAAGCAGTCTTGCACAGTATCGATTGGCTAAATCTAATGATAAGGGGAGCAATATGACCTCATGGTTGCCAAAGTCATTTTGCTTAGTTTTAAGCAAAGTGTGGAGACAGTGAGCCTAGCATATTATTGTCACTACTGAGAAATATAAACATTAACATTAAAGCTAGTAGGACATGACTGATGGAAGACACAGGAGGAATGTACCTTCTTACTCAGAATAGGAAGACTTATGTCTACTTCATCTTCCTATTCATATACATTTTTTTAAAAAAAAGATTGATTGATTTCATAAAACTAGTGTTCACTTGAGACCAATTCATATAACTAACCCAAAGAAAATGCAGATCGTGATGATATGAATATCTTAGATTCATGTTCTGAGATTTAAAGTGCATTCAAATCCTAAGAGGACTTTTTAACACTGATTATTGGGCCCACTCGCAGAAAGAAGTGAGAACTGGCATTTCTAGCAAGTTCCCAGGTAATTTGCTGCTGCCCCAAAGACCATACTTGGATAATCATGCTTTACAGAAATGCTGAGTTGATGACAAATTATTAATTTTAAATAATATTAATGACATAAGCAGTTACTTCGAGTAAAAGAAAAATTCACAGTAAGTAAAGTAAACTGGGTAGTAGATTTAAACTATTTAAAGGTAGATACCTGTAAGACAGCCATGTCTCACTTTTTTTTTTGTAGACTTTTTTTGTTTTTGTTTTTGTTTGTTATAGGGCACATGCGCTCGCCAGAAAGACAGACAGACAGAGACAGAGAGACAGAAAGCGAGAAATCACCCCCCAGGGGGGGATGGTCATGCCACAGTCCTTCTCCTCCATTCTCCCCTTGGGATCTTGGGCATGCATGCACACGCACCCGGCATGACCCGCGGTTGATTACATGGGAGTCCAGCGACATAGCCATTACGCTAACTGCTGGTCCCGGCAATGTCTCACTTTTAATGAAATGGGTCTTCCCATTTTCCAGCTCTATGGTATGTAACAATTGAGAGGCCAAAGAAGTAGGACAGAGGAAATAGTACTGATTTTATCAGAAAGAGAAAAAATATACAAAAAGTGAGAGGTATGTTGACCATCTGTCCTGTGAGCATAAAGCAATAGCTATTTTATTGAATCCCAGATAAAGAGTATTTGGGCATATTATGCCACATTCTGCGATAAGTGTATGACATGTAAAGTGTTCTCACAAGGCTCAGGGATGACTTGAGGAAAGCTCTGTTGCAGTGATCTGAATGAATGATGCTCATCCAGGTAATTACTGCACATGCTATCATAATATCCATCTTCTCAAGTTGCTCTTCCTTTTTTCCTTGAGTTAGTGAATAGAAATGATCCCAGAATTAAAACTACTCCCATCAACAGTCTGACCATTAGTCTAGATCAAGGTGAACCTCAAAATATTTTTCCCAGATGGTCACTAGCTATAAAAAAGAAAAATTAAAATAGTAAAATGTCAGAACGAAGTCTGTTAGACATTATTCTTCCTATATAAGTTGTTATAAATGTTAATAAAGAAACTTGCTTGTGAATATTCATCAGATAATGGTTCTTATTCTCCAGCCAGATACATCAGAGTAATATAGAATTTCCTTTTTTCTTTAGCTCTGTTGGCTTAGCAAAAGCAGCTCTAGAAGCAATTAATGGATTCAACCTCTTTGGAAACCAGGTAAAAAAAAAAATACTCTTTGACTATTTGAATTGTATGTTTAATTAATCTTGCTATTCATTAACAAAGATATTTCCCTGTAATCGGAGACTATCTGAAATTTATGTAGGAGCTAACTTTTCCTTTGAAAATGATCTGTTAAATTTTAGTTTTTTGTAACTAAAAACCATTTCATAATTAAAAAATACTCTTGATACGGTTTTGATTTTTTTTTTGGTTCAATAACTTTTCCTTGTCTGTTGCCCATTTATTAGGATTTCTCATTTTTTAGGTATTCATGGCATTATATACTGAGAGAGAGAAAAAGAAAGGCATCCCCAACATTGTTTCCCACATCACAATCCACCCCAGTCTCAACTGGCCTGGATCAAGGGCCCACTTGTGCAGCCCGAGCTTGCTCAGGGAAGTTCTGGAATATGAGCCCAGGACCATTCCCTTGTGGGTCCATTCACATTCCCGTCATGCTACACCTGGCCCCTATGTACTGATAATTTTAATGTCGATTATCATGTTTTCAATGTAATGTATATCTCATTAAAAGGGTAATTTGGGGGCCAGCAGGTGGCATGGTGGATGATGCTCTGGACTCCCACATGGCTGACTGCAGTTTGAGTCCCAGACCTGGCAGATTGCTTTTTTACTTTCTCTCTCTCTTTCTCCTCTGGTGAGCACACGTGCCTATAGAAAGTTAAGTAATAATAGTAATAAATAAAGTTGAAATGAATAATTCTTTAAATAAACAAAAGGAAAAGACCAAACTTCTGAGCATACAAAAAAAGAAAAAGAGGATGAATTGTTTAATGTGTGTAGCCAGAGAATTGGAAGTTTTGAACCTAGCTGCATTTTTTTTTTTTTGAGAGGCTTTTGCTATAGGGCAGGTGTCCTTGCCAGAAAGACAGAGACAGAGAGACAGAAATCACCCCCTGGGGGGATGGCCATGCCACAATCCCTTCTCCTCCATTCTCTTCTTGGGATCTTGGGCACACATGCACATGTGCCTGGCGTGAGTTAACCCACCAGGTCTGGGACTTGAACTGCAGTTGACTACGTGGAAGTCCAGTGACATAGCCATTATGCCAACTGCTGGTCCCAGCTAGCTGCAGTTTCAATGGGCTACAATCAGATGTCTAAAATCTCATTTTCTCTGGGGATAAAAGAGAAGCACTGAAAGTCAGCTTACATTTTTAAAAGATTATTTTTGTTTTGCTTTATTTTGAATTGATAAATTATATTTATGAAATACAGTATTTCAATAAATGCATATATAATGAAAGTATCAACTCAAGTGAATTTTGCATATCCTCGTAAGACCTTTAACCAGTTTTTGTACCATGAAAACCTGAACTCATCAAGTGATCATAGATTGAGTTGTCAATTGAATGGAAAAAATGTAGGCCAATGTTTGCTACTCTGGATCAAGAAATAGGTTTTTAACGATATTTTATTTAACTTTATTTACTTATTTCGATTTTGACCAGAGAGGGACAGAGTGAGAGAGAGTGAGGGAAAGTGAGAAACGAAGCTGCCAGGATAGGACTCAAACTGTGGTCAGCCATGTGGGAGTCCAGTGCCCTTAACCCCCGTGCCACCTGCCGGCCCCAAGAAATAGCAACTTTTCAAACCATTCCTGGGGCCAACAGGTGGCGTGGGGGTTAAGGGCACTGGACTTCCACATGGCCAATTGTGTATGAGTCCCGGACCTGGTGGCTTGCTTTCTCACTTTCCCTCCCTCTCTCTGTCTCTCTCTGGTCAAAATAAAAATACATACATACATATATACATACATTTAAAAATTAATTAAAACAATTCTTTAAAAAATTCCTAAGATGACAAGGTAAAGTGAAATTTCCAACTGACATATAATGAAGCACTAAGTCTGTAAAGATACATTTTAGAAAGTTACATAGATGTGCAACAGTTACATGGTTTTTGTTAAGGCAGTTATACTACTGTGTATATATTAGGTCACCGGAAAAGTCATGAAATCATGATGTAGTTATCTGTTTTTCTATGCAAAAATCTATTGTGACTTTTCTGACGACACAGTATTTCAAGACTTGCATTTAAGGAAGTTTCAAGTTGGAGTATGGGAACACGACTGCCTATCTTCCCCTCTCTACATATTCAGACTCTTCTTTTCTTACCCCAACTTCCTCTGGAGCATGAGCTCTGCTATATCCAGGACATGAGGAATGACCCCAGGCATGAAAGGACTGGGAAAAGGAAAAGAACTTCTCATTCTGGTTGCCCAAGAAGGGACTCTAGAGCACCTATTTATCACAGTCTTAGGTAGATAGGTATGTAGATGGATAATATGACACTAAAGGAGGACTTTGTATCAGGATTCAGGAGGAAGAGCCTTGTACGGGGCATACATTTAAAATCAGAAACTCTGAGAGTAAACTCACCAGTGCGTTCTGTGACTTTGGCCAGTTATTTACCTATCTCAGTGTCAAAGCATTATTTAGAGAGAGATTTTTTGTTTTGTTTTGTTTTGTTATAGGACATGTGCACTTGCCTGAGAGAGAGAGAGAGAGAAAGCATGATGATAGGATCTAACTCAGAAAGTTTTCTTAGCATAGAGCTTGGCAAAGATTAAACTCTTAATAAATGTTATCTATTGTTGCTATTATTGAGTAAAAGTGATACTAAAGAAAGAAAATGAAGAGGTTGGACTGAACACCCTCTAGCCTGTATCTTAAGGAGAATGAGAGGAGTCGTGGATTAAACCAGAGCTGAAATAGCAGTCCCTAGAAAGATACAGGTCTTGCTGCCCTGCCTTCTGTGGCAGGCCAAATAGTGAGCTGGATGAAACTGAGTGTCTTTAAATTAGCTGTTACACAGTAGCCAGCTCTTCTTTGCAATTATGTTATCTTTCCAATACAAGTCTTAGCATGTGTTGTGTGTACTAGGGAGAAAGGCATGACATTTGTGCATAGAGGAACAGAAAAAAAATCATGACTTTCCTTCCCGATGACCTAATATACCCGTGCATACAAATAAGGTGTCTTTCCTAACTACTTCTCTTGGGAAGCTTTTCTATTTCTCTCTGCTGCAACTCCTAAAACTACTGAATGGCTTTACTTTGTATTCTGATTCTGAGTTACAAATATACTTGCTGGTATTGTTCCTCAGCCAGTTTCTTCTTTCTTCTTATTTATTTTTTTAGAGAGAGGTTTTTGTTGTTGTTGTTGTTGTTGTTGTTGTAGGACATGTTCTCTTGCCAGAGAGAGAGAAAGCAAGAAATCGCCCAGCAGGGGGAATGGCCATGATGCAATCCCTTTGCCTCCATTCTTCTCCTGGGATTTGGGGCACGCATGCACAAGTGCCCAGTGTGAGTTTCAAGCCACCAGGTCTGGGACTCAAACCACACTTGGCCATGTGGGAATCTAGCGCCTCAACCACTGTGCCACCTGCTGCAATCCCTTCCCTCCAGCCAGTTTGTTAATCTTGACTGCACATTGGAATCATTGGAGGAATTAAAAACAAAAACCCAAAAAACTGGTGCCTTTACTTTGAGGGTTTCTGATTTAAAATAAGTTTAGGGGCTAGCAGGTAGTGTGGTGGTTAAGGCACTGTACTCCCACATGGCCATCTGTGGTTCAAGCCCCGGGCATGTGGCTTGAAAATCATACTGGGTTCATGAGTCTGCGTGCCCCCAAATCCTGAGAGGAGAATGGAGGAGAAGGGATTATGATGAGGTCAGACCTCCAAGGGGCTAATATCTCACTTCCCTTTCTCTGTCTCTCTCCAGCGAGCACAAACAAATAAAATAAAAATAAGTCAGGGGAGACTTTGACACTGAGATTTTTCAAAACTTCTTACATGTAGCCAAGGATGAGAACAATTTCTCTATGAAGAGTTTATTTTTGACCTTGTTTTGGTCATGCTTGTTTCTAGTTGAGTTAGGCACCAGATGTTTGCTGAATGGACTACCCGTGATTATTTCCAATAGAAATAGAGACAATTAGCCTAGCTGAGATGGCACAGGTGTAGGGCAATACTCTGCAGTGCTGATGTCCCTATGAAAGACTGGAGTTCAGTTTCTGGATTGATTTCAATGCACAGACATGCACTTGATCCTGATTGGCTGGAAGACTAGGGGGAGGATACACTGTCAATGGTGTGTCTCTCTCCTTCTTTCTCAAAAGAAATCAATAAACTTATGCCAAAGAAACACAGACAAATAATATCTCATACCTTTAGCCACATGAATATCAGAAGTTACAGTTAGAATCTTTTTATCTTCTATTTATACAGGATAATATCTGTGTCCTATGTTTAAAGATTCCCTTTCATCTTTTTTTCTAATGTGGAGAATTGTAGAAACCTGATTTTGAAAATGTTAATATTCCCACCACTTCAGCAGTTGAATTAATAATGTGCCTGCTAAACAGTAGCACATTTAAAAGTGCAAGTACTCTTTTTAGTGTTTAATCATTTTATAATGCAGCTCATGTACTTAGGAGAGCTGTGATCTCATTAAAAATAATTGACATAAAGAAATGTTTTTATTCAAACAAAACCCCAAAGCCACTTCCTTAAGATTTGGGTGATTTGGGAACCAGCAGTTAGCGTAATGGCTATGTCGCTGGACTCCCACATAGTCGACTGTGGTTCGCGTCCCGGACCTGGTGGCTTAAAACTCACGCTGGGCACATATGCGTGTGTGCCCAAGATCCCGAGAGGAGAATGGAGGAGAAGGGATTGCGGCGTGATCATCCCCTCTGGGGAGTGATTTCTCACTTTCTGTCTCTATTTCTCTCTCTGTCTGTCTGGTGAGCGCACGTGCCCTATAGTGAAAACCTCTCAAAAATAAATAAATAAATAAATAAATAAATAAAAGATTTGGGTGATTTTAGATTACATGTTTTTTCACTTTTTCTAAAGGCTGTTTGGTATAGTATTATTATTATTATTAGTGGGTTTTGCCGTAGGGTATGTGGGTAGGGTGTAGAAGTGGGGTTGGGGTTGATGAGAGAGAAATAGTGAGAGGAAAA